TCATTTCTCGACGGATCATCAATCATAAATTTAAATGAGACATATTATATAAAAGTGAATTCCTCAATTATTAATAGTGAATAATTAGCCAAAATTGAAGAAAAAATTATATTTGATGGGATCTTGATCACACATCAACCCATCATAAAAACCCTTTCTTTGATACTATATACCAAAGGTCAAATACAATTCAAACCGAGATAAGATTGATCTTAAAATACTAAAAACGGTTTTAAATTTTAATATTTTAGAATCGATCAATTTGACCCGATTAAACCATAACTTTCTAGGTGTAGTAGCTCATAATCTAGGATTTTAGTGCTCATAAGAGAACATATTTGAAATTTGTAGAGGGATAAAGACTGATGTGTGTGTGACACTAAGCAAGTTGACACCAATCCGTACTGTTTGATCAATGGTAATCCAATCCAGGACGTTGAAGTCACATGGTGTCACTAGATTTATACAGTTGGATGGTTGAGATTGTCTGAATTACGCAATGCTTGACCCACTTGCGGTTGAAGAAATAGACCATCTATTGAACGGTCTTGATCAATAGGTTGGTGAATTAATGAGGAAAGTAGGGTTCATAGTGACCCTCAGCTATGCAATCACATGGTTTTCCATATTGAATTCTGTAAAGTAGAGATGGGGTTGGGGACGGAAAGTTGATAAATGTTATAGTTAATTAGGCTAGGATCCTTTCTTTAGTGTGTAAATTAATTTTAATTTTATAGAATTTTTAATATAAAAAAAAGTTTTTTGATTTTGAAAAAACTTGAATGCAGATTCTTGTGTTGGTGCGAATGTTAAGAAATTGATTAGTTATTGATTTTCATTACCCATTTTACCCTCATCACGTATTTTCAGCCTTAAATATAGTTAGTTTCTTATTCTTTTTTTTTTTTTGCATTTGTTATTGAGATTTTTGCAATATTATCTATCAATTTTGAAATTCAAACTCGTGAACCAAGTAACTTGGACATTATGATGACGTCTGACAATTTGTGTTTTAATGTACCAGTCTGACGATCTGTGTTTATAGAGTAAAATGTACATTAATGATCTGTATTTTAGTGCACTTATCTGACTATCTGTATTTTAGTATACTTGTCTGACGATTTGTATTTTAATATACCTTTCAAACAATTATTGTGTACCTGTTTTTTTATATTTTTTTATTACGTACCCTTTTTTTTTTTGGGATCAAAAGTATATATTTTTTTTTAATTGCGTACCTTTTTTTTTTTAGTATATTTGTCTTATGTTTGTGTTTATGAAAAAAAAATGTACATTATAATGACGTATCTTTTTAGAATAGGTGTTTAGATTAAGTGATAACATTTTCTTTATTTTTTACAATTGTAAAAGGCATTAATTATGCCCATTACTTTGACTTTTTAACGGAGACCTAATTCAAAAGAAAATTGAAGAGTGGGTTTTTTTTTTTGAAATCCTATTTTACCTAAAAACCGAACTCCAAATCCCTCTAAATGTTAATTCAACTAAGATTTTACGAATTTGACAAAAATTAGTTTTTTAACATAGATGAAATTGCTCGTCGCTTAGCTCTCTTAACTAAGTTATAGACGAGATTTTTGTGCACTAAGTGTAATCAAAATGGTGTGATTTAAATCATGAATGCATTCATCTCTTGTCAAGAAATCCCTCAAACAGGACCCATGGGTACAAATTACAGTCATGTTTGTCACATTTCAAGTTAATCATTCAATCATCCCAAAAAATGTAAATAAAGTAACTCTTGCTATTATTAATCTAACAATCAATCATTGCTAAAATCAAAATCTCAGCCTTTCTAAGATTTTTTTTTGTTTTTTTTTTTTGCATTAAGTCATATGAATCACATCTAGATTTCAAATCACTTGTGATGTACTCAAAGTTGGCCATAATTCACGCACGAAAATTATGGTGACCCACCTTACATATAATGCAAAGAGCTCACAAAATATGTTCATCTTATGTTTATGTTTGTATACATAGATCCAAATCAATTATTGGAAGGTGGAACATCGCCGTTGATAACTTGATGGAACTTATTCAGTTATAGGATAATGAACTTGCTGAAGGTACAGCAATGGTGGTTAGCACACTGCTTGTGTAAAACATTTTCATGGTATAGGTCATCGTTATTGGTAACTTTGAGTGGTTAGCACCGAGTCCGGCTCCTCTGCTGTACAAAAGCAGGTATTGTTTCTCAAATGATACCCAAAACGACGTCGTTTTGAAGAACACCTCCTCTGTTGTACAATTAGCACACTGTTAAAAGGTCAATCAGAACTCGTTCTAAGCTATAAAAGCACCAAGCTTAACACTTCAACCCGGGTAGTGGTTATGGGTTGAACTCGAATTACATAGCTCGGACTAAAATTCTAGTTTAATTGTCAGCCTCCTATTTTGTGTCTTGCCTCTTATCTTGCAATACAAGAACAAAAATGGTCCTAAATGATGTGAATTGCCCTGTAGAGACACCGAAGTTCATTCAAAATGAGTCCAGTTTCATTCTCGAGTCAGCTAGAACATACATTTATCTCTTTGGCTGCATAGTGAAACTCAAATAGAATGCCAAAATATTGCAGCACCAGTGTAACTCTTTCCAAATCAATGCATGTATGATACAATAATGTCTTCTAAAGAATTGCAGAACTACCCTCTACAATTTATTTCTTTTCTATGTAAGACCTTACAGTTTCCATCCATCTTATAAACTCGGTTTTATCTTTGTTCCTCATATATTCATGCACGAACACAGCAAGCTCATCATTTATACCCCTTGCTTCCAAGTATTCATAGAGTGAATTCTGCAGTTCATCGTCAAGTTCCCTATAAATGAACCAATCACAAACACAAAAGATACGGACCTTTAAAACCACATTGTCTAGCTAAAGCACAAAGCCTTCAGTTTAGGTGCTGAGAAAACAGAGATATTACATTATAAAATCTTAAACCTCCTTGCTACTTAAATTTGTCAATAGCAAAAAGGTTCCAAGTGATGAAGAAGAACTGTTGTACAAATTTCCCAATGGATACTACAAATGGAATGCTGAGGTTTGTAACATCTCTAATTTTCAAAATAAAGATAACGCCATTACATTTTATTTTTTTTTCAGAAATAAAAACCTGGCACCTCATTTTTAGTAAATATGCATATAGGAAAACCAATTTGTGGAACATTTCCAAACAGAAACTTTTTAAGCTTTGAAACTTTCAGTTAACTTCTTCACATTCTCAGCAACTTTACTCAAATTAATTGGCAGAACGATTCGTTAAGATGAGTTGAGTTGATTATTAACATGAAGCAAACAAATAAAAGGTAGAGAATAAAGGATACATACTTAAATCCGGGACCCATGTAAGGCTGACTTGCCATCCGATCATGCTTACGCATGTAAGCTTTCTGAATTTCTATGCTATCCGGCCATGCAGAGCACACAAATTCCAACACATCACTGCCTTCCCCCTTAAACACATCAACAATCATCGTGATGTGAAGCTGCACATCATGCGCTGTGGCAATCCCACCAGGTTTCTGAACAGGAATGGACCCATCAAACATAGTTACTTCAACTTTGATCTCTTCATTCTCTCCAAATTTCCTTGTCAATCTAATCCACTGCTCTCCAGGCCGTTCATCAACCGTAAACAAATTGAATTCAGGGACAAGCTGAAATTTAAGTGCATAACCATATCAAAACCCCAACAATCGCCAATATAACCCAATTGATATCAGAACAGCTTTCCCAAAAAAATAGCGATCAGATAACCATAAAGTTCATTTGTGCAAGAGATATCACCATTTGTAGAGAACTAAAGGCCAGTTTAAAACGGTTATTCCATAATACATTCCGACTAATTCATTTTGCATCATCTTTTTTATATTTAAACATTTCAGATGCAATTTAATTTACTTTATTTAACAAAGTAAAGCTCAACTTGCTTCTTCTTCTAGTTGGAGCTGGAATTTCCCTCCCAAGGCATCATGCCATCAACCAAGGACCCTTATCCTCTACAACCTTCACGCTAAAGATTTTCAATTCCTACATTTTTCTCTCTAACTCTGACTTTCTCTCTCATTTTTTGACCCTTAACCTCTTCAACCTTCACACTAAAGATTTTCAATTCCTACATTTCCCTTTCTATCTCTGACTTTCTCTCTCATTTTTTTTCTTTTGGTTTGATTCATAATGAAAAATCAGGTCAACTAGAAATACGTATTTTTGCTAATATATATATTCCTTTTCCTACATTTTTCTTTTCTGTTTGGCAGTAGATTCGATGTTTTAGGTTCATTTATCTCTAATTCAAGTGTTGGGCGCAATTGATGGAGGCTTGTGTTTTCCAGGACCCGTGAATAACAAAAGAAAAACAATTACAAGATTGAATTTTCTCAGAAAGCAAACCAACCCTTTACCTTTTCTCAGGAAATTGCTTCAGATTCCTAAGGAAACGAACAAGAGAACAATTGTACAAGACACGCAGAGAAGCACAAAGAAAAAATGTTACCTGAGAGGGAGGAGAACGATCGAGTTCGTACTGGATCTCGTTTCGCAGTAGTCTGATGATGTTGCCTTCGAATGCTGACTTCCTCATCTCTGATACATAACTTCTTCTTGTTTGTTGAAGCTGTGGCTGAATTGCAGTTAGGGTTTTGGAAATAGAAAAGGAAGAGAGAGGAGAGGCAAGTGTTTCTGTTGTAATTCTTCGTAAGGGTCGGATTAGACGATAGGCCATTGACATTGATGACTTCTAATTTGATGGAATATGAGAAAAAAATAGTTGCAGAGCAGTGATAGTGGCTGTGGTAGTGGTAGTGGTAGTGGTAGGGTTTAAGGAAGGAGTGTTTATAATTTATAGCAACGGCCAAATTGAGAGTGTACCGGTAGACCAAAAGACAGAAAAGAGGGTGAAAGTGAGAACTTGGGACATCTTAATTTTAAATTAATTTCAACTTGCTCGTAGTCGTGTTGTGATGACAGGTTCGATTATTCAGGCTGGTAACTATCGCCCAAACGGGTGGATTCCTGAGGGAGTGATTGAATTCAGTCAAGACTAATTCAGCTATTTTGGGGAATGGTTCGTCGCCCGTCACCATTTATTTGGATCGAGTAGATTGAGTATAATTAACTCTAATGTTCCCNCAATTGTACAAGACACGCAGAGAAGCACAAAGAAAAAATGTTACCTGAGAGGGAGGAGAACGATCGAGTTCGTACTGGATCTCGTTTCGCAGTAGTCTGATGATGTTGCCTTCGAATGCTGACTTCCTCATCTCTGATACATAACTTCTTCTTGTTTGTTGAAGCTGTGGCTGAATTGCAGTTAGGGTTTTGGAAATAGAAAAGGAAGAGAGAGGAGAGGCAAGTGTTTCTGTTGTAATTCTTCGTAAGGGTCGGATTAGACGATAGGCCATTGACATTGATGACTTCTAATTTGATGGAATATGAAAAAAAAATAGTTGCAGAGCAGTGATAGTGGCTGTGGTAGTGGTAGTGGTGGTGGTAGGGTTTAAGGAAGGAGTGTTTATAATTTATAGCAACGGCCAAATTGAGAGTGTACCGGTAGACCAAAAGACAGAAAAGAGGGTGAAAGTGAGAACTTGGGACATCTTAATTTTAAATTAATTTCAACTTGCTCGTAGTCGTGTTGTGATGACAGGTTCGATTATTCAGGCTGGTAACTATCGCCCAAACGGGTGGATTCCTGAGGGAGTGATTGAATTCAGTCAAGACTAATTCAGCTATTTTGGGGAATGGTTCGTCGCCCGTCACCATTTATTTGGATCGAGTAGATTGAGTATAATTAACTCTAATGTTCCCTTTGAGATGAGAGACTCCTTCATTTCTATGGCCCAAACCAATATTTTATAATTGGGAGAACTTTAAAGATAACATCCTAAGGAGTTATTATGTGTAGTAGTAGTACGGGTCTGGCTCGTCTGTTGTTAGCAAAAAAATAGCACGTTGTGCTGTAAAATGAAATGGCAACGTTTCATTTATTTAAAGTAAAATGATGACACTCTGTTCTTAAACACTCTTTGCTTTCATCCGGGTCTCGACAATCTCCTTTCCTACCTCGCTGACTGAGTTACTTCCAGTTCCTACAATCCCTTCACTGTGCCCATCCACTTTTCTTCTTTCTCCTTGTAAGGCTTTGCTCCAATCGTAATGTCCACCGTCTTCATTCTCTGCAATAAGCTCCTTCAAAACCTTTCTTGTGACAATCATAAGGCCTTTGGCACCCACCATTTTGATTTTATCCAGAAATTTGTAGTAAAATTTAACAGAGAGAAAGAGACAAAATCATGGGTCTTGAGTGTGCACAGAGATTGTGCAATGGAGTGCAGAGAAAAGACTTCTCTTTTGGGTCTAAATTCGTCATTTATTGATATTAAACATACATATAAATTTAAACGGAGGGATAATTTTCACTGACTGTCAAACTACAAACAGTAAGATCATGAATTTGGNTATTTATTGATATCAAACATACATATAAATTTAAACGGAGGGATAATTTTCACTGACTGTCAAACTACAAACAGTAAGATCATAAATTTGGATGCAACATGGGTTATCACTGAAATCCAATTCATCAGTGTCTGTTAAGCCCTTTCTCCATCTGCTTCAACACCTGAACTTCCCAATTATTGACCATGAAGCTTGATTTTATACCTTGTTCCTTTTTGCTTTAATGGGACTCCAAATAAGAAGGAATTGAAACCCCATTTCTACAGATATTGGTGATTGGTAGTTGATACAATCGAGAAATCGAATAAAATGTAGTGAAGATGGAGGAGGATGAATTCTCTGGTAGCAACACAACGGAATAAAATACATAATGACCAGCAGACTCACCTGAGACTAGAGGGAAAACCTTTTTAGAGAGAGAAGCCTTCATGTTTTAGAGAGGGAACCTCCCCTTTGATCCGCACCTCAGAATCTCAGTAAAGACTTTCAACACTTGTTTTGGGGAATTTGTTATCCTATGCAAAACTAACTCAAACGTCCGCATTTTAATTAACAAAATACTGTGTTATTTTTTCCTCACAGCAGAGAAGTTGCGCCCCTAGTCGCTCTTAACCCAAAAAATAATCAAATTATAAAAATAATAAGATAAAAGGAGAGAGTGATTGAATTAAGTCAAGCCCAATTCAGCTACTTTGGGAAATGGTTCATATCCGGTCACCATTTATTTGGATCAAGTAGACCCGAGTCGAGTTGAGTTAATTGAGTAGAGTGGCGTTGATGAAAGAAATAGTATGACCAAGTGGAGAAAGTAAATTTTTATGACGATACCCTTAATTTTTTTATTTTTTATTTTAAATAACAGATAAGTTCATAAAAGAGGGTACACAGGAGAATTTCATATCATAAAAGACACTGTAAAGAAGGTTTTTAACGTATCCATCTGCTTATGTTCACAGAATCAAAGCCTTGGCCTTGCATTCATATTGTGCTCCCATGAAAATGACAAACAAAATAGAAGCTCCACCAATCTGAAGTTTCTCTTACATAGTGCTTGCAAAGAAAGCCCCAACATGATAACAATTCAACAAGCCATGCATAGATGTCCCCATCAGCAATTTTTGAGCCTCGTACACTTGTCTAACAAACATGACTTATCTTCTGCTGGGTTCTAAGGATGTCCCCATGTCCCTGTTGCATCCTCTATATGAATTCGATCGACTTTTCAATGTTCTGAAAAAGAATGTTGCTTGCAGGCACTACAGATGCCACAGTTCATTTCTGCCCAGCTTGAGCAGGCCCTTCATTTTGGGTCCCTCTTCTCATCCCGCAGGGAAGAATCAGTAACTGGTGCTAATCCACTTGGTTCCCGTTGAACTTTGACCGTTGTTCTTCCTGCAGATGTTTGTTCACTAAGGTGGCCTTCATCTGCTGAACTGCTTGCGTCTGATCTACTTTTAGTGTCTCCCTGTGCAGTTGTCGCTGGTTGCTTTTTCACACCACCATCATCCTGATATTTGCTTCTGGTCCTCCCCAATTGCGCCTTTGATTCAATCACAATTTCCTTTACAGCTTCCTCCAATTTACCTAGCCTTTCTTTTACTTCCAAAAGCTCTGGATCAGATCCTGCTGCTTCTTTTTCTTCAACATCTTTTAATTCCATCTCTTTTGCCTTTGCCTCTTCTTCAGCTTTCTTTTTCAGCTCCAATTCCTGGGATGGGGATTTTGGGGACAAGACAATCAAACATGCCAACGAAAGGAAGAATTAAAATTATTTCTATCCTATCCTTGATGCCAAAGGTTTGACGTATCAATGTGTTCCAAAGAGCTATAGTCATATATACGAAACAGTATGCATGATTGGCATCCCATTGAAACGAAATTGAATGACTTCATTTAATATAGCATTTCAAGACAGCCATACTCAGTGCAGAGAATACAAACTAAAAGACAGTCATTGCAACACAGTCAGTCAAACATTTACCCACGCCTGAATATGATACACACATGACAATAAACCATTTATAAAAAAGGACTAACCTCTCAATATCATTTTAATTGCTTTGCTCACGTGATTGAAAAAAGAGCAAAATCACAAAAGGTGTTCTTCATGTCATTACATGTCCTCATGGTGATTGTATGTTCGATAAAGTTCTTACACTAACCAGGTTACTGCAAACTGAATTATCTGACATAAAATCTATAATGATGACTTCAAGAAATAGTGAGTATAATCAGGACCTTTCGCCCTATTTTGGAGTATGCTTCTGATTATCTTTCCCAAAGAGATTCCAAACAAGGATAAACAATAGGGTGGTGGAGATTACCCTTCATATATTATGTAAAAGACACTCGATTTTGGCATTAAGAATAGCTAATTTGCTTGAATTCTAATTTAGGTACAGTTTCATTGGCATTGCACTCTTAATATTCTTCAAAATGACACAAATTTGTGTCATTATAAGTTGCAAAACATGAAATACAAGCTTAAAAAGATGCATTAAAAGTTGTCAATCAGGGCAGAATGAGTCATAAATGTGTCCTTGTTAAAACTGATATACAAGCATAGCTAAGGGTAGATCACAGGAAATAGAAGAAGAAAAATATATGAAAGAAAGAAAGAAATTATGACGAGCAAAGGAAGTATAAGATTTGGTTACCGCCTCCATTCTTCTCATTTCGTAGCGAGCATATTGAGCCACCAAATATACAGCTGTTAGAGGAAAATGTGAACTTTAGATAGCAGCATCAACCAAAAGGCATCTCAAACATAAAATATAAACTACTATCAACTTGTAAGTAGAGATACCCAATGAAGGCAAGCAGGCAAAGAAGAGTTGTACCAGATGGAAATCAATCCTGATCATGAAACAAAGGCATGTAAAAATTAAGTTCCAACAGCTGAAACAACGTGCCGAAGAACAAAACTGTATACAAAGAATAGCCACTCAATTACACATTTTGATTGAAAAACAATCTTAAACGTCTGTCATGTTATTACCAAGAAGGTACTTTAAACATGAGGCCTGTGCCACCATGCCTGATGCCTAATATGCACACAATAAGCCTAATCACACCACCCATCTAGAAAAGGGCAACCCAAAACATGAATCCCGAGGATCCGGGGAGGGATAGATGTAAGTAGTCTTACCCCACGTGCAGTAAGGCTGTTTTAGTGAAAGTAAAAACAAAATCGAGAAACAAATAAATAAATATAACGAAGTAAAAACTTCTTCAAATTGCCAGTTTGCCTGAAGTTCTCTAAAAAATTTCCCTGATAGTCTTTAATTAAATAAATAATTCAAAACATGGATGTGCCGTTGCTAGAGACACTAGATCAAACTGATGTTGCGCTTACCAAACCGAAGGGGATTGGACAATTCTGACACCCACCTGACGCCAAAAAATATGCATTTAACATAGCAAAAAGAACCAATGAATAGTTTATTTAAAAGGGGAAAATCATAGGCAATGGGACTGTGATGTAGGTGCTCACAACTTAAAAACATGCATTCTGATGAAGAGATTGTAAAGTGTCTGTGTATACCCATTCCAATAAAGTGGTAAAACTCCACTCATGCCAATGGCTAGTCCACACAAGGTAGAAAGAGGGCAGAACTAAAACAATAAAGAATGTAGCCTTTCATTTCAGGCATGGGTTTGAATCGTTCATTCACAGTAACGTGAAGAGCTGCCCAAGATTTAGGGATGGTTTCTTGCCGTCCCATTCAAATGTGCCATAAACATCTACCTGATCCTCACTACGAAAAACTATTAGATAGGATGTATCTTCGGTAACTATCTTACAACATTTATAGCTCCACATCTTCGCTATTTACAGATTTCATTGTTCAAGAATTCTAAGAATTTTTTAAAACCACTGGCTTAAAAGGTGTCTCTTGCTATTTCAATTACCATGTGATATCAATCAGATAGATCTCTAGTACTTGAACCTGGAAATCAGTCTCACACTAGTACCCATTTCCCTCATTGTATATGCACACTAGAGAATGAATTGCTTAAAATTGTATTACCTTTGGTATTTTTTTGCATTAAGACCAAACATTTCATTTCACTGTTTTGCACTTGAACTTTGCTTAAGAATACGACTTTGTACAAAACCTCAATGTGTCGACCACCTGACTATTATTAAGCCCAGGAAGGAATATATCATGGTTCAATCAGTAGTTTAGCCTCAGNCAGTCATTGCAACACAGTCAGTCAAACATTTACCCACGCCTGAATATGATACACACATGACAATAAACCATTTATAAAAAAGGACTAACCTCTCAATATCATTTTAATTGCTTTGCTCACGTGATTGAAAAAAGAGCAAAATCACAAAAGGTGTTCTTCATGTCATTACATGTCCTCATGGTGATTGTATGTTCGATAAAGTTCTTACACTAACCAGGTTACTGCAAACTGAATTATCTGACATAAAATCTATAATGATGACTTCAAGAAATAGTGAGTATAATCAGGACCTTTCGCCCTATTTTGGAGTATGCTTCTGATTATCTTTCCCAAAGAGATTCCAAACAAGGATAAACAATAGGGTGGTGGAGATTACCCTTCATATATTATGTAAAAGACACTCGATTTTGGCATTAAGAATAGCTAATTTGCTTGAATTCTAATTTAGGTACAGTTTCATTGGCATTGCACTCTTAATATTCTTCAAAATGACACAAATTTGTGTCATTATAAGTTGCAAAACATGAAATACAAGCTTAAAAAGATGCATTAAAAGTTGTCAATCAGGGCAGAATGAGTCATAAATGTGTCCTTGTTAAAACTGATATACAAGCATAGCTAAGGGTAGATCACAGGAAATAGAAGAAGAAAAATATATGAAAGAAAGAAAGAAATTATGACGAGCAAAGGAAGTATAAGATTTGGTTACCGCCTCCATTCTTCTCATTTCGTAGCGAGCATATTGAGCCACCAAATATACAGCTGTTAGAGGAAAATGTGAACTTTAGATAGCAGCATCAACCAAAAGGCATCTCAAACATAAAATATAAACTACTATCAACTTGTAAGTAGAGATACCCAATGAAGGCAAGCAGGCAAAGAAGAGTTGTACCAGATGGAAATCAATCCTGATCATGAAACAAAGGCATGTAAAAATTAAGTTCCAACAGCTGAAACAACGTGCCGAAGAACAAAACTGTATACAAAGAATAGCCACTCAATTACACATTTTGATTGAAAAACAATCTTAAACGTCTGTCATGTTATTACCAAGAAGGTACTTTAAACATGAGGCCTGTGCCACCATGCCTGATGCCTAATATGCACACAATAAGCCTAATCACGCCACCCATCTAGAAAAGGGCAACCCAAAACATGAATCCCGAGGATCCGGGGAGGGATAGATGTAAGTAGTCTTACCCCACGTGCAGTAAGGCTGTTTTAGTGAAAGTAAAAACAAAATCGAGAAACAAATAAATAAATATAACGACGTAAAAACTTCTTCAAATTGCCAGTTTGCCTGAAGTTCTCTAAAAAATTTCCCTGATAGTCTTTAATTAAATAAATAATTCAAAACATGGATGTGCCGTTGCTAGAGACACTAGATCAAACTGATGTTGCGCTTACCAAACCGAAGGGGATTGGACAATTCTGACACCCACCTGACGCCAAAAAATATGCATTTAACATAGCAAAAAGAACCAATGAATAGTTTATTTAAAAGGGGAAAATCATAGGCAATGGGACTGTGATGTAGGTGCTCACAACTTAAAAACATGCATTCTGATGAAGAGATTGTAAAGTGTCTGTGTATACCCATTCCAATAAAGTGGTAAAACTCCACTCATGCCAATGGCTAGTCCACACAAGGTAGAAAGAGGGCAGAACTAAAACAATAAAGAATGTAGCCTTTCATTTCAGGCATGGGTTTGAATCGTTCATTCACAGTAACGTGAAGAGCTGCCCAAGATTTAGGGATGGTTTCTTGCCGTCCCATTCAAATGTGCCATAAACATCTACCTGATCCTCACTACGAAAAACTATTAGATAGGATGTATCTTCGGTAACTATCTTACAACATTTATAGCTCCACATCTTCGCTATTTACAGATTTCATTGTTCAAGAATTCTAAGAATTTTTTAAAACCACTGGCTTAAAAGGTGTCTCTTGCTATTTCAATTACCATGTGATATCAATCAGATAGATCTCTAGTACTTGAACCTGGAAATCAGTCTCACACTAGTACCCATTTCCCTCATTGTATATGCACACTAGAGAATGAATTGCTTAAAATTGTATTACCTTTGGTATTTTTTTGCATTAAGACCAAACATTTCATTTCACTGTTTTGCACTTGAACTTTGCTTAAGAATACGACTTTGTACAAAACCTCAATGTGTCGACCACCTGACTATTATTAAGCCCAGGAAGGAATATATCATGGTTCAATCAGTAGTTTAGCCTCAGTTATAACATACAGTGACAAGATGCGATATTGCGCACATTTGCACACACAAAGCTACACCCCACAAAAACTCACAAACAAACCCTTATACAAATGCACATACAAACGCACACTTACTTCACAACCACAGCTATATTGGTGTCACTGAGATAAACCACTATCTATGACAAATCATGGAGTAGCATATACCAATTAAAGCAACCCGTTTGACAAAATGCAAATGAGAAGGTAAATAAGAAACAGCAAATCAATGCGCAACAAAAAAAAAAAGAAGTCATATACCCGAACTTCTTCTTCTTAGCAGGTTCTGAGAATAGGATCTTAGCAGCAGTCATGAAATTAAGGTTGTCCAGGTCTTTATATGCTTCGTACTTGCTCAAAGAAGAAGAAGACGACCCATCATCAACCTTGTCACTACCATTGTTTTTGTGGGTCGTGCTGGGTTTCTTGCTGTTGGTGGTAGAAAAGGGTCTGTTTGGGACTCGCCTGAACCGCTTTGAAATTCGGACCCAAACGTCTCCCCTGCTAAATATTCTTCTCATCGTTCTTGGTTCAACATTTCACACACAAAGGAGAGCGAGAGAAACCGAGGGGTAGTTTCTTTCTTCCCTGGACTAGTCACCGTAGTTTTAAAACCCGACCCGGACATTAACCCAAAAAAGAGATCAAGTCACTCAACCCGAAAAAGAGACCGGGTCACTAGTCGGACAAGTAATATAATAAAAATAAAAAAATAATTAGTCATGATAATAAATAGGCTAAAAAATCACAATAATTATGAAAATAACATGCTTAATGTATATTAGATCAAACAAAAATCCCAAAATCAGCAAACATGTATTCAATGCATTCAATTTCCAATATAACTTGTAAGTTAAGTAAATAAAAATACCCCTATGAAAGCTCAAGACCACCATAATTTACTCAATTAGTTAATTTGCCCAAGCTCAACCTGCAACCATTAAAAAAAAATTCCCTAAGCTGCTTAATTGATCAAACAATCTCCTCTTAATTAATTGCATAATTTTTGAAATTGATAATGTGATCAATGGTGAAATAGTTTATAGCATAGCCTTCAANTCTGCTTAATTGACCAAACAATCTCCTCTTAATTAATTGCATAATTTTTGAAATTGATAATGTGATCAATGTTGAAATAGTTCACAGCATAGCCTTCAACTTTAACCTTAAAGAATTGACTACTATCTCTGAAATACAGTGGGTAAATTACTATATTATGTTACACTCTATATATGTATAACCACAAATAGGTTATAAATTAAAGAACTAAGTAGAAATTATGCTTATAACACTGAGCACACGTAGTAATTAAGGAAAATAAGCTCATTGTGAACTATTGCAAAAAAAAAAAATATCAAGTTTAGGCAATAAAATTTGACATAATTGGAATCAAATTGCAGATTTCATGTAAATGGATGGAAATGCGTGTTGTGTGATGTGTCTCACTTGAAACTCTAGCCTCTGAGTGAGTCCCTCCTGCCTCAACTCGACTGTTTCACTTCGACTTTGACGCAGCGCAGACAGAGAGATTGAGGAGTGAGGAGGTCGTCGAACCTCAGACGTTTGCAAGAGGCACAAATCAGAGAAAGGTAGAAATCGATTTAGGGCAAAAATTGCCCAAAAGGGCCAAAACACTGAATTTTATAACATTTCAATTGATCCGACCGGTTTATATAAAACCCTCCGAGTTGATCGGTTTACTGGGTATCTTCTGGTTTTTGTGCTCAAACAATCTTTTATTATACTCACATCCCTTTGTCTTTTTGAAAATTATCGGTAGTCCCCTTCTTCTGAAAATTTCCTCCTCCCCATATCTCAGACCCCTCAAGTATGCAATATTACACCATGTCCCCTTGAGGTTGGAGGTGTCCATAGCCCAAGTTACCCACGGGTCCCATTATTCGGCCCAACATAAGACCTGAAACCCAATAGTTGACCTGTCCGAGCCCGAGCTCAATATATCATTAAAAAGAGGATTTGAGTTTCCCCCCAAACCCATTACTTAGCCCGAAGCCTGGCCCAATAGCTCGCCCGAAAAACCCGGTTAAAACCCTGACCAAGAGTCCGCCCACCCACACAACTCGCTCACCCTTCCTTTGAAAAAAAAGTTATACTTTTAAACCATTAAATTTGAAACTTTGAAATAAGTCTTCCAATGTCAGAATTTGAAATTTTAAAAATTTAGATACTATAAATAATGTATTATTTTTTTTTCCATGTATTAAGTATATAAGTTTTAAATGTTAGAGTAATGCAAATACAAATGATAGAAAAGTGAGTAAGTGTCAACCTAATTTAGATGTATTCATTTTATTGGATGTAGTTCATCCCCTAATCAAAAATAAAATTATTCATTATTTTATTTTTATTCTACTTTTGATTCAAAAATATAATTTACACAAATATTAAGTTACACAAATATTCATTATTTTTAAATGAAACTTTATATAAAAAAGTTTGTCAATTGGACTGCGGGTAACTTACCCCTACCCGAACCCCAGTCTCGCCTGCCCGACAACTCACTTAGGTAAAAGTTTGGTCCTACACTACCAAAATCCAACCCGAGAAAAATTTTGCGGGCTTAGCCTATGGACACCCCTACTTGAGGTTGGGAAACACAGGTGGTCAGCATTTATCATAGTTTTAAAATCCGGCCCAGACATCAACCAGACAAAGAGGCCAAGTCAATAGGTCATTGGTTCAACCGTTGGGTCACTGGTCGGACCGGTAAATATAATAAAAATATAAAAATAATTACAAATACTAATAAATAGGATAAAAAATCACAATAATTATGAAAATAGCATCAAACATATAAAGTTAAGTAGAGAAAAATCATCAAACATGTATCTACGTTTGGTAACGTTTATGTTTTTTGTTTTTCGTTTTTATTTTGATATTTAGAGAAAACAAGAAAAAAAAACTCGTTTGATAACTTCTTCTTTTTTTTTCTGTAATCATTTTGTAAACAAGCAGCGATTTTCAAAAACGAGAAAAAGACGTTTTTCATTTTTTGATTCTGCTTTTTGTTTTTTAGAAAATCAAAAATCGTAAAGGTTACCAAACGAGAACACATTCAATTTCCAATACAACTTGAAAAAAATACATCTACTTAAGTTTTTTTTTTGAAACAAAATTAAAAAAATTTATAGCAAAAGGAAAACCACAAGAGGCTTTCCATATCAAGACAAAACAAACAAAATAACCAAAAAACAACGCTTCAATCCAGCCCCCAGACTAACCAGAAATAAAGCTCCAGCCAGCAAAAAACATAGCCCTCTTCAAACCACAATTCCTCTCAGACATACCATCTCTTTTCCCTCTTAAATTTCAAACAAATCAACACTTCTAACCCAGTCTCAGACTCTGAACCCAGAGTAATACACCACCACAAACCATGCTAACCCTTATCATCAAAAATCACCACCCTTCTTTTTCTCAGAACAGGCCAACCCCTCATATCATAATCCAAAGCCACCCTCACTGCATAAGGAAGGCTCAATCCAACAGAAAAATCGAAAGATCTCCTACTAAAGACAGCTTGATTAGCCAATCTATCTGCAACAGTATTTGCTTCACGANTAAACCATGCTAACCCTTATCATCAAAAATCACCACCCTTCTTTTTCTCAGAAAAGGCCAACCCCTCATATCATAATCCAAAGCCACCCTCACTGCATAAGGAAGGCTCAATCCAACAGAAAAATCAAAAGATCTCCTACTAAAGACAGCTTGATTAGCCAATCTATCTGCAACAGTATTTGCTTCACGAAAAACATGAACCAAACAAAACTACAAACCCTTTAGCATATCCCTGATCTGCCTTAAAATATCCAAAAAAAGGCCATGGGCATTCACAAATTCCCAAAACAATATTCACAAGGACCAACGAATCACCCTCAATCACAAAAGAATAACTGGACAAACCACACTGCCCAATTAACTGCAACCCATCATATAATGCCTTAAACTCAGAAGCCATGTTTGAGCATTCACTATAGAAAAACGAAGCAGCTAGAACAATCTTTCCCCGTTCATTATAAAAAATCAAAACTTCTCTCAATGTATAAAATATAGCATTATTAATCAAATATTCAATTTATATTTCAATATTCTAGATATTGCATAGAGTTAGAGAAACGACAGATGAGAGAGAGAGAGAGACAGAGAGTATGTACTTGCTGGTAGTCGTCGATGCTTGATGGAGCTCTGATCGATCGAGTCACTTTGGCTTTTCTTCCACTTCGATCAAGATTGAGATTGCGAGAATGAGAGAGTAAGAGACTGTATGTGTGTGTGACAGAGAGAAAGAGACTCACATTGAAGATGGCTGTGATGTTAACGTCCACCGTCGCGAAGACGAAGAGGCAGAGGCGCAGAGGACTCCAGGAGGCAGAGGCGAAGATGAAGAGGCAGAGTTGGGAACTCACGTTGGAGATGACTGTCGTTCACCAGGCAGGAGCGAAGACGAAGAAGCAAAGGCGAAGACGATTTAGGGCAAAATGCAAAAAAGGGCCAAAACTCATCCATTTATAGTAAACTAAATGAACCGTCCGGTTTGGTTTAACTCGTCCGGGTTGAACGGTTCAACTGTGTTTTATCCGGTTTAGAGGGTTTATTCTGGGTTTAATGCACAAACGATTTGATTATTGAACCGATCAGGTTTAGGCACCGTTTCACCGGGTTAGGCACCGGTTCATCGGGTCAACCAGCCGGTCAGGGCCGGGTTTTAAAAAACTGGATTTATAACAAAATTACACCCCCACCCAGGGGCAGAACCAAGATTTAACATTAAGAGGGGTCAAACAATAATATTTAATGAAATTATTTTATAAGTTATCGATAATGTTAAGTTTTTAGTTATGTAAAACATACCAAAATTGACTTTACCACGACACATTACAATATTATCTATTTTCTATTAAATCGGGAGAATTGATTCAATTTTGTCCAATTAATTATAAATACTTATCAAATAACAATAATAATAATTTTCAACTTGATTTTATCAACGAATCACTTATGTGTCACTAAGTACCAATTTAGTTTCATTAAATTGTCGATAATTTTATTGCAAATTCATCAAATAACTAAAAATTATAACTCAATACATACTCTACTACACAAATAACCAATTATTTTGGCTTAGTTTAAAATTTTATTTAATGATTTAAAAAATAAATAAATGCATTTATTCAAGAGGAGTCATTGACAAAATACGAAGTCATACATATAACACCTTATAGTCAAAAAAATACATATAACACCAACTTAAATCGATAATTACCTAATTTTTTGGGACTTTCTATTAAGTCTTTGTCCCCAAAAACAATAATTGTGATATTTTTAAAAGATTGTTAAATTATATGTAATTAAATAATTTCATAAATACAATATCTATATGAGAGTTTTTGTCCAAAAAAAATGAGGGGCAGGCACCTATTAGCATTAGAATTTCAAAAATAAATAAATAGTAAAAAAATTAAAAAATAATATGTCTATTAGAGTAGAGTAATATTCAATGTAACGGTGACACCACGTCATCACTATCACATGGTGTCACCATTCAATTAAAATACTAAAAATAAATAAAGTGAACTCTGCTACTTTTATAACTACCAGAAATAACTGCATCCAATTAACAACATATAAGATTAGTGGAAGATACACTATCTATTTATTATTTTCTAATTAGATGATGACATCATGTATCGATAATGACATGATATCACCGTTACAATAAATATTTTCGCCTTAGAACGAGACTGATGGATATCTATATAAGGCCCATTAGGGCAGGCCATGATTTTTAGGGTAATTTGGAAGGCTGTATAAAAATTTAGATTTATTTGAACTAAATTATATTATAGAAACTTATTTGACTCTAAGTACATTTTTTGAAAACAGAAGGTATTTATTACTCCATTACTTTCTCTCTTTCTCTCTCTCCATTACTCTTTCACTCTCTCTTGCCTATTTTCTCTCTGTATATTTTTCTCCCTCTCTCTTTCTCTTATATTAATAATTTTTTTAAATATGTAAAGATTTAATTTAATTTTTTCATCTATCTCCCCCTATTTTTTTTTCTCTCTCTCACTCCCTCTACCCTTATTTTCTTATTCTCTCCCTTTTTGTCTCTCGTTATATCAATATTATAAAAATACAATTACACTAATCAGTTACACCAATTAGNCTTAATTAAATCTGAACATTAAATTTTTTATTCACTGGTTATATAAGTTAACACAAATATTGTACAAAAATAAATGAGCAATGCTATAAAGACTTAATCTACTTATTTAATTCACTATGACTTTTGGATTGACTGTGAAACTTGTCAAATATTGAAACTTGGTGTTGGTGTTGATCCAATAGTTCTATTGAAGTCACATCATTATGTCAACAAATTAAATCAAAATTTTAAATTTAAATAGTATTATTCAAAATAAATAGGTTGACTCGCTCGACATGATTAATTGAATGGGTTAAATTAAAATTAATTAATCCTCAACACAATTTTAAAAGTGACCCGATACAACCACGAAACGATTATCACCCCTCCTGCTAACTCGATTGTGACGAGCTTAAGCATCTAAGTTATGATTCTCAAGATGTACATGATTTATAAATAACACGGCACATCGGCAACATTTCAATTGAACATTGTATCATTATATTCCAAGCAATGCTACATAAACTTAAAAATTAGATTTGATAATTACAACCATTGATTTCATTGTGGATCACANCTGTGGATCACAACATTTATTATGACCAATTACCTATTCAATAGTTGAGATTATCGAATCTAATTTTTAAGTTCATCTAGCATTACTCTTATATTCCCTCTCTCTTTTCCCAAAACATAAATCACTGGTCACCTTATCATAATATAATCAAATCCATTACTCCGATAATCATATTTATGCCCATATATTGCATACTCCCACTGCATGTCATTATGAGTGTACGTTACTTTCTCCCAAAAAAATTCAAAATTTTAAAATTATTGGATCACACAGCTCATTCTCCAACCAACCACAGAGTTTCCACCAATTCCAGCAAGAGTAACGCTGCATTAATCAAATTTTGAGATTAAATTTGGAGTCAAAATGATATGGCAGTTGATTATTTGAAGTTTTTATTGGGCCCTAAATGACATGACATCAATCAAAGAAATTCAAATCAACTGTCATATCATTTGATCTTTAAATTTGATCCCAAAATTTAATTCATCTAATATTACTGTTCCAGCAAAACCTTTGGGTCATTTATATAAGCACTATGGTCCGCCAAAAGTAGACGGTGCGGCACTGATTCGCCGCCGGTTGTGCCACCCCACATACTCAATTGCAGCCCAATTTTTCTTTTTTCTCTCTCCTCCTCCTTCTACCACCCAACTGGGTAGTTGGTAGTTGATTTCTTGTTTACTCATGTTCTCTAATTCTTTTAGAATCACTATATGTTGAAGGGTCTGTATTGAAGAGAAGGAGTAGTTGTTTCATTGGTTCAAAATGTTTTGCAGAAAGAATTCAACAAGAAGTCAGAGAGGATCGGTGCCAGTGCACCTTAATGTGTATGATCTTACCTCCATTAATGGGTATGCTTACTGGGTTGGCCTTGGTGTCTATCATTCTGGTGTTCAAGGTCAGAACTCAAACCTTCATTTTCCCTGAAACTCCTTCATATTGAATTCAAATTGTGATTCTCACTGTACCTTATTGTTTGTATCCAATTCAAATGAGATCTATACTTCAAAAAATACCCAGTAAGTAATCATGTGATCTGACAGATTTGAAAACTTGAATTTGAATTTGAATTTGATCTACTTTGGTGTGGCAGTTCATGGGGTGGAGTATGCTTTTGGAGCTCATGAGTACCCAACGACGGGGATTTTCGAAGCAGAACCGAAACATTGCGATGGGTTTACGTTTCGGAAGGCGATTTTGATCGGATGGACGGAGATGACTCCTGGGGAGGTGAGAGAAGTGATGGAGAAGCTTGCAGAAAAGTACAAAGGAAATGCATATAATCTCATTACAAAGAACTGCAATCACTTCTGCAATGATGCTTGTGTTAGACTCACTGGCAATCCAATCCCAAGTTGGGTTAATAGACTCGCCAGAATTGGTAAGGGCTAATTTGTACATTAAGGTAATGATTTTCCATGGCAGTTACAACCTTTTAAACTGTTTAACATTGTCAATCCTAAAAACTTAAAATTTATTATATTTACAATCCAAAGAGGAGTGTATTAAGTTGGGTGTGGCTCTATCACAAGTCGTTAACAAGAAATTCTACAGAGCTAGCCATGCCAAGAAGAAAGAAAAGAGCAGACAATGACAACTGCAATGTATAACGGCAGAATCGGTTGCAGCTCTCTTGCCCCTTGCCCCTCTGGGTAACTCGTGGGTTCAACGATGATAGTACTAGGGTGTGGCTCGATCCCACACCCACCACCCGAGGGGAGGAGGCCGCTTGCCACTATAGTGAACCGATGCAAAGATGAAACTCTAGATACCCAAAAATAAATAAATAAATAAATTTGGGGCACTATATAAACCTGAAATTTGAATAGGGTTTTATTTTTATGATTTTGTCATAATTTGTTTATTTTTAATGAAATGTAGGTTTATTCTGCAACTGTATCATCCCAGCAAGCTTAAGTTCAACTAAACTTCAGCACCATAGAATTGAAGATAAGGTCTGTGAAGGAGATAAGAAGAAACTCAGAAGCCGATCAAATAGACACAACACTTCATCTTCCAATTCATCGTCTTCCTCGGCGTCTTCTCCTCCGATCACCACCACGAGTAGTAGAAGCAGAAGCTCACCACCACATCCATCTTCACCTTTGATTCATGGTTCTTCTTCTTCAGCCTAGAAGTCCTAACAAAAACTATTTTCTCGAAATCTAGGCTTTTTTTTTTTTTTTTGCCATCATTGATTATTTTCTTGTGATCCTATAATGCTAACAGCTTCTTGAGATTGCAACATCTTGTGCATGGGGCTGGCGTTCAATCCACAGAGATGAAGATGCATTTTACATTATTGTGAAACTTACATTTCTGGTGGTCAAAACATACCCTAAGAGAAATTGCAATTGAAAACCATAGTCCAAATAAGACTATGATCTCTATTTTTTTGGGTTAAGTGACTATTATCTTTCAAATTTTTTAGATGAACAAAGAAAGAAAGAACATGATAGTCGTGGTACGAATCACTGACAACCCAAGTAAACATGTAGTGTAAGAACAAGTAAGATCCCCTGTAATGTATTTTCTCTTTATTTTTCGTCTTAATAGATCAGCTACCATGAATTCAAGTGTTGCGTGATCTGCCAAGTGAGGATTTATACCCCATTCTGACATGATAGGGAAAGTATTGTGAAGTTCCCGGTCCACGACCCGATTAGGGCTACCTGTTCCAACTTAACTGACCCTTGACTTGGAAGATAATCATATGTCAACATTATTGAAAAAAGATACCAAATATTAGCTTGGTTGCAAGAACGTGATGGTGTTGTGGAGAATATGTGCTTTATATTATAAAGTGAAAAGTCTGCCCACAGCTTTGCATCAAGAAAGTACTTTTGTGTTACCAACCTTTGAATTCTTTGTCCCTCCTAACTCTCTTTGCTGTCACTGCCACAAAATTGATTTCTCCCCCATCTCCTCCTTTTCTTAAAGAAAGAAAAAAAAATTGCCTCCAATATAGAACATTTGATGAAAATTGAGGAAGTGGTTAAAAAGATTCCATCATGGAGATGTGGCCGGTGAGATTCTATATGTCCACTATTAACATTCTCTCCCCCATATAATTTTAAAAATTAGAGGTGTCAAAATATGATACGATTCGTTTACACGACAAAAAATTAGAGAATTTAATTCTTCAATCCAATCCAACCCGACCTGGCTAATAAACAAATCACATACAGTAAAGTCAACTAAAATAAATGCAAAATACAACTCAATTATACACGATTGATACATGACACAAACTCAATATGACACGACTCGTTAAACACAAATTAATAAACGAATCAGATATGAATACAATACTTTTTGATACAAACTCGTTAACACCTGAAACAAACCTGTTTTACTCGACACAATTAACAGGGCTAGTAAAAACCCACTTTTAAATAATTAATCAACTAGAATCTAGTAACATATCAATATATGAAATTGAATAAAAGTATAACGCATATAATCTAAATCCATATGCACTCCCCACCGGTATCATTTGCTTAGATCATCGATGGTGAAGTTTCATAGATCCTGCCTTTTTAAGACCACCTTTCCATCTATACCTGGTTTCCCCTCATCTTTCCCAACTATTTACTTCCGTAAAAAGAGGGGTAAAAACCCTGAAAGTTCAAACAATACAAGACAGCGGACCCACAACATAATCAATTAAAAGTAGCATCATTCGACCACCATTATAATATTTCGTAAATATTCCTTGGGGTAACAATGGGGGCCAAACGAAAATAGTAATGAGAGAAGCATTATCAATGGCAAGTAAATGAATTGAAATAAGTGTCACTGTCACATAGAAGTAGAAGGAGTGATGGGGCTCCAGCAACAGATTAAAGTATTGGAAAGAACAACCACCCTTTGAACTTTGTAATTTCCCCTTCTTCTACAGAAGTAAAAATAAGAACAGCATTTTCAGTACCAAAATGAACAAGAAAAAATAAATAACAAAAAAAGCAAAGCCAGATGATGCCAGAGAGTTTTGATGTGTTGTTTCAACAGAGTCCTGCAAGCATATGTAACACGATGAAATTATAGAAAAAGCATCAGAAGAAGTAATTTAAAAAAGGGTCAAATACTTTTTCCCTCCATGTGATTTTACAGAGTAACGTATTGCCTTGTTTGTGAAAAACCTACACATAACTCGAAGTTATGGACCAAAGCAAAAAACCATAACTCCATTAACAAAAAGGCAGAGAGATCGGTGAAAGAAAGAAGGAGGGAGGGGGGAGAAGGTCCAGATCACAACTGCCGTGCAAGAACCAGTACCTAAAGGAATGCATCCATCCCAAAATTGTTGTGTTTTATTACTGTGCAAAACGAATCTGCCATTGATCATGTTTGTGAAATAGTGTTCCCTATCAGACACACATGGATGTACTAGATTTCCTCCAACTTTCCTACGTATTGTGTGAGTTAGTTTTTCATATTTGTGAAATTGTACGGGTAGAAAACTGACAACCAACTGTCAATGACTAGCTTCTGATATCTTCCATGGCAGAGCCTTGTTCTCTTCTTCCTCCTCCTCCTCTTTCTCCCAATTTCTGAACCAGTGGAACATTGGGATGGACCGAATAGATTTGTTCTTTGATTAAATGCGTATTTCTGATAATTAAATATTTAACTTCGGAAAAAATTTCTTGTCAAGCCAATATCGGATTTTTGGCGTGTGATGCACAATTCTCCATCAACATGGATGGATATACTAACAGTTTCACTTTGGTCCCAAAACCCAAGGGGGTGACTTGTAGGTTATATGGAGGTGATTTGTTATTGGGCCAAATCACAGAGGAAAAAAGTATTTAGACTTTTAAAAAAACCTCAAATGGGGAAAACAAGTTCCTACTTGCATATAGATTAACTTATAAGGCAGGAATCCAAGTGTAGCAAACGTTACTACGTTTAACTCCTCTTTGCTCTCATCCATTCAACAAAATTGTCCAGGATCAAGGGCCAAGCAAGTTCAGGATCATAATTGCTAAAATCCGGGAAGCTTATCTGCATAAAAATTGTCGGTGTCAGAGAACACCTGTAGCTCATTGTTATCAATCACATAAAATCTGGAAAGCGGTTAGAAGTGTAAAATAAGAGGCACGAGATTTCGAACATGGTTAAAAAGTGTGAAAGAAAGTGAAAACAAATTATCAGCATCAAAATGGCAGAAAAATCATGTGCATAAGTTATCGCAGATATATAAAAGATGCCATAGATTCTTTAAAATAACTATACGTTACCTCATTGCAAAACCGATAGAATCCCATCCACTGATCCATGTTTATGACTTTGTAATCAACCTGTGTCTGCAGCAAGAGCACAAACATTTGGACAAGAATTTTTATTATTATAATCTTTTTTTTTTGGGGTGCTTATTGTAATCTTCTATTTGATTATCAGTGTTATTATCTCTTTTTTCTTAAAAATCACATAATATTGCAACTCTGTATGCGGGACCCCACCATCTTTCTACTGTAACGCGTAACAGCTGAGTTTCACAAATATTTTCACTTTGAAAGAAGTAAGATGGCAAGAGTTCAGCGGTACAACAATGGTGAGTGGTGCAATTCTTATGACATTTACAGCGTTGTTGGGCAATATCATTTCCTCGTGAATACAAGGAAAATGCTGATATATTCACTTGGACAATTGAGTATCAGAACATAAGCAACTGTATTACATTAGAGCAAGAGAAAACTCTAGCTGCTTACCCTTATGTACTGTACAAATAAGTCAACCTGGGAATGAAATTGGGACCCTAAAACAAGGTCCAGCAACTGGCAGATGCTCTCTATGTCGATGCTCTTCTGCTTCTCCTCTAGAAAAGAAAAAACAAATAATAAAAGCTGGCTAGCAGCACAAACAGGAATAAATTTGAAGTTTGCCAACATTAGACATGAACAAACAAGAAATCGCCAAACCTGTTAGACAATATCGAAAGGCATAGGAATAGAAATCCAGAAAATTTGATGGCCTCCTAACCTTTTGAGAGAAAGAAAAATACAAGAGGGAAAAAAAGGAAAGGGGGAAAATACGATGGCAGAATTAGCACTCCAAAATTATCTTTCCCCCACCACAAAGCATCCAATACACATATCATCAGAACCTATCATGATCCACTGGTTAAAAAAGAGTACCTCCTTCTCAAGCTCTGGAAGTGCCTTCTTTAATTTGATTATTGTATCAGCCCGAAGTGCTTTAAGGCCTCTTCGCCACTCCTCCTATTATACATTATATTGGTGGAGTCATCTAAAGGATGAATGTGTTTAAGAAGTAGAAAACAAAACAAGAAAATAAAAGTACACATAAAAAATGATATGCATTGACCGAGGTCTAGTGTAAAATGAAGTTTCTTAGCAAGTTCATAGATATGTACAACAGCAGGCATGTTGGCCACATATTTCATACACAAGTCCATGCTGTGACATGTTTAGTACTAGGGCCTCCACGATACAAGACAGATGCATTTTCAATATGGTTGCAGGAGAAATGTCCATAATAACTGAACGAACAAAAGATGAAGGTTTATCGATCCAAGGATTAATAGAATAAGGGATGCTACAATGTTTGCAAGCTTATAGACCTTACCATTAAGGTTTCGGCTAGTGAATCGGTATAAGTGAAGAATACAAGCTATCATATTTAAGAACATATGAGAAAGTAGCAACAGAGAGAAGTTTTAATTAATAGGATTATTGAAGCCAATATCCATTGTATGGATAAGAATTGGATTACTTACAATGGTAAAGTATCCTTGCTTTTCAGCTTGCATTTTCCTAAAATCCAAGGTCCATCAGTACTGAATTTAAGGCCATAAATCAGAAACTGAAGAAGATGATGACTATAATGCCACTCACCAAGCAAGCATCAGTATTTGTACATTAGTATGATCCACTTCCAAATCTGAACAAAAAGCCTCAATTCCTTCAGGGCTACTCACGAAAATATTGCAACATTAGACAGGTGCAACCAAAAATCAGTAATGTAAAGGGTAAAAAAAACAAAAAAATTAGAGGGGGGTTCAAACTTCTTGTTCTTGAATTGAATGAAAAAAAGAAGAAGAAAATTTTCGTTAACAAATGAAATCGCTGGAAGAGTTTCTGATCTGCAAGTGTACAACCAAATTAAAGAATAATCCAGCCAACAAGATAAGAAAGTATTGTACACAATATAATCACAGAAAACTAAGACGAGAGAAAATAAATATTTGAATGATTGCCACAGCAAATCACAATTTTGTACTGCATATCCAAGGAATTTATATTGAACGTGAAGCAGCACTCTTCAATTCTTAAGAAATGACTTAAAAATTGCAGTTCCAAGGGCTGAACTTGCAGAGGGTGACAATTGAACCCAGGAAGGTAAAATAAAGATGTCATGTTATCTACNAGGAAGGTAAAATAAAGATGTCATGTTATCTACTACAAGTCATAACAAATAAAGGCACAACTATATCTGCTCTGCAACTTCGCATGGCTTTCCATAAATCAATAACATATGNAAAATAATATGTCTATTAGAGTAGAGTAATATTCAATGTAACGGTGACACCACGTTATCACTATCACATGGTGTCACCATTCAATTAAAATACTAAAAATAAATAAAGTGAACTCTGCTACTTTTATAACTACTAGTAATAACTGCATCCAATTAACAACATATAAGATTAGTGAAAGATACACTATCTATTTATTATTTTCTAATTAGATGGTGACATCATGTATCGATAATGACATGATATCACCGTTACAATAAAAATTTTCGCCTTAGAACGAGACCGATGGATATCTATAGAAGGCCCATTAGGGCAGGCCATGATTTTTAGGGTAATTTGGAAGGCTGTATAAAAATTTAGATTTATTTGAACTAAATTATATTATGGAAACTTATTTGACTCTAAGTACATTTTTTGAAAACAGAAGGTATTTATTACTTCATTACTCTCTCTCTCCATTACTCTTTCACTCTCTCTTGCCTATTTTCTCTCTGTATATTTTTCTCCCTCTCTCTTTCTCTTATATTAATAATTTTTTTAAATATGTAAAGATTTAATTTAATTTTTTCATCTATCTCCTCCTATTTTTTTTTTCTCTCTCTCACTCCCTCTACCCTTATTTTCTTATTCTCTCCCTTTTTGTCTCTCATTATATCAATATTATAAAAATACAATTACACTAATCAGTTACACCAATTAACTACAATTACCATATAATATACTAAATAGTTACTCACATCTTCTAATAAACCAAACAGTTACATTAAACAATTATACGGAATTATAACACCAACTCAATTTGTCATTTAGTTATTTACATAAATTAAAGAGTTGCACTATTTAGTATTACGATATAATTACACCAATTATATACACCAAATTGAGTTTATCATTACACAAAAGATTTTACCATTATACTATATTTGATATATGTGATTGGTGTAACGATGTCACAATACTAAATGGTGCAACTATTTAGTTTGTGTAAACAATTGAATGACAAATTAAGTTGGTGTTATAAATTTGTGTAACTGTTTGGTTTATTATAATGTATGACTAAATGTTTGGTATATGACAAGACAATTGTAACTGATTGATATAATTGATTAATGTAATTGTGTTGTTATAATGTTGATATAAATAGAGAGAAATAAAAAGAAAGTAGGAAAAGAGAGAAATGGTTAAAGAAAATAGGAGTAGAGAGAGAGAGAGAATGGAAAGAGATGAAAAAATAAATCAAATCTTTATATATTTGAAAAGAAAATAAATTATCAATGATAAATATAGAGAAAAAATAGGGGAGAGATGGGGAAAGTAAGAGTAATGCTATTAGGACATAATGAGTTGTCACCAATGATATGTATTGAATTCATTTAATACTATAACGAGACTTATCATTAAATACATTTTACTATCATTTCATTGGTAACAACTCATTATGTCTCAAAATTATGTTTCAATAGTATTAGTGGGAAAGTAATAAGGAAAGAGAGATAGATGGAGAGAAAATAAGGGAGTGATAATGAGAGAGTCTAATAAAATATTTACACATTTGATTAGATATATAACTATCAATCAAGAATGTATAATTTAAAAAAAAACATTTAAATAAAATAGTTTTGATTTTATTTAAATTTTATACCTAAACACAATATATTTTATTAAAATTAAATTTAATAGAATAAATAATTTATTCATACACTTTTTTTAAAAAAACTCTGATTTTTACTGGCCCATCGACCAATTAACGACTTTAGTTGTTCGCCTCACGGCATGTGCTATGGTGCTGATTGGTGGGCCAAGAGGGCATGACTTGACCCGTTGCCTACTATTTCCTTTGATAGAAGGCCCTCTCCCCCATTTTTTATTCCCAATATATATATAAACAGTAATTCCTTTACCCCTACTTTAGGGTTTATAATTTTTGATACGACATAATAACATAGCTTAAAATTAATATAAAATTAATAGATTAGAATTGGTAATTTCTAAAAACTAATCTGTAATTGACATGACGATTAATATGAATAATAAATAGATTAAATTAGTATCAAAATACGAACAATACGAAATTAACACAATTTACACATTTAATTAGTATTATAAGAATAAAATATTAATTTTTATTATATTTTATTAAGTAGTGACATAATTATTATACAAAAAAACACATTTTTAATATTATATTTAATAAATTAATTTTTAGTTTATAGAAAAAAATATGAACATAAGTTCAATTAAATGACAATTAAATTTTAGACTTAATTAAATCTGAACATTAAATTTTTTATTCACTGGTTATATAAGTTAACACAAATATTGTACAAAAATAAATGAGCAATGCTATAAAGACTTAATCTACTTATTTAATTCACTATGACTTTTGGATTGACTGTGAAACTTGTCAAATATTGAAACTTGGTGTTGGTGTTGATCCAATAGTTCTATTGAAGTCACATCATTATGTCAACAAATTAAATCAAAATTTTAAATTTAAATAGTATTATTCAAAATAAATAGGTTGACTCGCTCGACATGATTAATTGAATGGGTTAAATTAAAATTAATTAATCCTCAACACAATTTTAAAAGTGACCCGATACAACCACGAAACGATTATCACCCCTCCTGCTAACTCGATTGTGACGAGCTTAAGCATCTAAGTTATGATTCTCAAGATGTACATGATTTATAAATAACACGGCACATCGGCAACATTTCAATTGAACATTGTATCATTATATTCCAAGCAATGCTACATAAACTTAAAAATTAGATTTGATAATTACAACCATTGATTTCATTGTGGATCACAGCATTTATTATGATCAATTACCTATTCAATGGTTGAGATTATCGAGTCTAATTTTTAAGTTCATCTAGCATTACTCTTATATTCCCTCTCTCTTTTCCCAAAACATAAATCACTGGTCACCTTATCATAATATAATCAAATCCATTACTCCGATAATCATATTTATGCCCATATATTGCATACTCCCACTGCATGTCATTATGAGTGTACGTTACTTTCTCCCAAAAAAATTCAAAATTTTAAAATTATTGGATCACACAGCTCATTCTCCAACCAACCACAGAGTTTCCACCGATTCCAGCAAGAGTAACGCTGCATTAGTCAAATTTTGAGATTAAATTTAGAGTCCAAATAATATGGCAATTGATTATTTGAAGTTTTTATTGGGCCGTAAATGACATGACACCAATCAAAAAAATTCATATCAACTGTCATATCATTTAGTCTCTAAATTTGATCTCAAAATTTGATCCATCTAATATTACTGTTCCAGCAAAACCTTTGGGGTCATTTATATAAGCACTATGGTCCGCCAAAAGTAGACGGTGCGGCACTGATTCGCCGCCGGTTGTGCCACCCCACATACTCAATTGCAGCCCAATTTTTCTTTTTTCTCTCTCCTCCTCCTTCTACCACCCAACTGGGTAGTTGGTAGTTGATTTCTTGTTTACTCATGTTCTCTAATTCTTTTAGAATCACTATATGTTGAAGGGTCTGTATTGAAGAGAAGGAGTAGTTGTTTCATTGGTTCAAAATGTTTTGCAGAAAGAATTCAACAAGAAGTCAGAGAGGATCGGTGCCAGTGCACCTTAATGTGTATGATCTTACCTCCATTAATGGGTATGCTTACTGGGTTGGCCTTGGTGTCTATCATTCTGGTGTTCAAGGTCAGAACTCAAACCTTCATTTTCCCTGAAACTCCTTCATATTGAATTCAAATTGTGATTCTCACTGTACCTTATTGTTTGTATCCAATTCAAATGAGATCTATACTTCAAAAAATACCCAGTAAGTAATCATGTGATCTGACAGATTTGAAAACTTGAATTTGAATTTGAATTTGATCAACTTTGGTGTGGCAGTTCATGGGGTGGAGTATGCTTTTGGAGCTCATGAGTACCCAACGACGGGGATTTTCGAAGCAGAACCGAGACATTGTGATGGGTTTACGTTTCGGAAGGCGATTTTGATCGGATGGACGGAGATGACTCCTGGGGAGGTGAGAGAAGTGATGGAGAAGCTTGCAGAAAAGTACAAAGGAAATGCATATAATCTCATTACAAAGAACTGCAATCACTTCTGCAATGATGCTTGTGTTAGACTCACTGGCAATCCAATCCCAAGTTGGGTTAATAGACTCGCCAGAATTGGTAAGGGCTAATTTGTACATTAAGGTAATGATTTTCCATGGCAGTTACAACCTTTTAAACTGTTTAACATTGTCAATCCTAAAAACTTAAAATTTATTATATTTACAATCCAAAGAGGAGTGTATTAAGTTGGGTGTGGCTCTATCACAAGTCGTTAACAAGAAATTCTACAGAGCTAGCCATGCCAAGAAGAAAGAAAAGAGCAGACAATGACAACTGCAATGTATAACGGCAGAATCGGTTGCAGCTCTCTTGCCCCTTGCCCCTCTGGGTAACTCGTGGGTTCAACGATGATAGTACTAGGGTGTGGCTCGATCCCACACCCACCACCCGAGGGGAGGAGGCCGCTTGCCACTATAGTGAACCGATGCAAAGATGAAACTCTAGATACCCAAAAATAAATAAATAAATAAATTTGGGGCACTATATAAACCTGAAATTTGAATAGGGTTTTATTTTTATGATTTTGTCATAATTTGTTTATTTTTAATGAAATGTAGGTTTATTCTGCAACTGTATCATCCCAGCAAGCTTAAGTTCAACTAAACTTCAGCACCATAGAATTGAAGATAAGGTCTGTGAAGGAGATAAGAAGAAACTCAGAAGCCGATCAAATAGACACAACACTTCATCTTCCAATTCATCGTCTTCCTCGGCGTCTTCTCCTCCGATCACCACCACGAGTAGTAGAAGCAGAAGCTCACCACCACATCCATCTTCACCTTTGATTCATGGTTCTTCTTCTTCAGCCTAGAAGTCCTAACAAAAACTATTTTCTCGAAATCTAGGCTCTTTTTTTTTTTTTTTGCCATCATTGATTATTTTCTTGTGATCCTATAATGCTAACAGCTTCTTGAGATTGCAACATCTTGTGCATGGGGCTGGCGTTCAATCCACAGAGATGAAGATGCATTTTACATTATTGTGAAACTTACATTTCTGGTGGTCAAAACATACCCTAAGAGAAATTGCAATTGAAAACCATAGTCCAAATAAGACTATGATCTCTATTTTTTTGGGTTAAGTGACTATTATCTTTCAAATTTTTTAGATGAACAAAGAAAGAAAGAACATGATAGTCGTGGTACGAATCACTGACAACCCAAGTAAACATGTAGTGTAAGAACAAGTAAGATCCCCTGTAATGTATTTTCTCTTTATTTTTCGTCTTAATAGATCAGCTACCATGAATTCAAGTGTTGCGTGATCTGCCAAGTGAGGATTTATACCCCATTCTGACATGATAGGGAAAGTATTGTGAAGTTCCCGGTCCACGACCCGATTAGGGCTACCTGTTCCAACTTAACTGACCCTTGACTTGGAAGATAATCATATGTCAACATTATTGAAAAAAGATACCAAATATTAGCTTGGTTGCAAGAACGTGATGGTGTTGTGGAGAATATGTGCTTTATATTATAAAGTGAAAAGTCTGCCCACAGCTTTGCATCAAGAAAGTACTTTTGTGTTACCAACCTTTGAATTCTTTGTCCCTCCTAACTCTCTTTGCTGTCACTGCCACAAAATTGATTTCTCCCCCATCTCCTCCTTTTCTTAAAGAAAGAAAAAAAAATTGCCTCCAATATAGAACATTTGATGAAAATTGAGGAAGTGGTTAAAAAGATTCCATCATGGAGATGTGGCCGGTGAGATTCTATATGTCCACTGTTAACATTCTCTCCCCCATATAATTTTAAAAATTAGAGGTGTCAAAATATGATACGATTCGTTTACACGACAAAAAATTAGAGAATTTAATTCTTCAATCCAATCCAACCCGACCTGGCTAATAAACAAATCACATACAGTAAAGTCAACTAAAATAAATGCAAAATACAACTCATTTATACACGATTGATACATGACACAAACTCAATATGACACGACTCGTTAAACACAAATTAATAAACGAATCAGATATGAATACAATACTTTTTGATACAAACTCGTTAACACCTGAAACAAACCTGTTTTACTCGACACAATTAACAGGGCTAGTAAAAACCCACTTTTAAATAATTAATCAACTAGAATCTAGTAACATATCAATATATGAAATTGAATAAAAGTATAACGCATATAATCTAAATCCATATGCACTCCCCACCGGTATCATTTGCTTAGATCATCGATGGTGAAGTTTCATAGATCCTGCCTTTTTAAGACCACCTTTCCATCTATACCTGGTTTTCCCTCATCTTTCCCAACTATTTACTTCCGTAAAAAGAGGGGTAAAAACCCTGAAAGTTCAAACAATAAAAGACAGCGGACCCACAACATAATCAATTAAAAGTAGCATCATTCGACCACCATTATAATATTTCGTAAATATTCCTTGGAGTGACAATGGGGGCCAAACGAAAATAGTAATGAGAGAAGCATTATCAATGGCAAGTAAATGAATTGAAATAAGTGTCACTGTCACATAGAAGTAGAAGGAGTGATGGGGCTCCAGCAACAGATTAAAGTATTGGAAAGAACAACCACCCTTTGAACTTTGTAATTTCCCCTTCTTCTACAGAAGTAAAAATAAGAACAGCATTTTCAGTACCAAAATGAACAAGAAAAAATAAATAACAAAAAAAGCAAAGCCAGATGATGCCAGAGAGTTTTGATGTGTTGTTTCAACAGAGTCCTGCAAGCATATGTAACACGATGAAATTATAGAAAAAGCATCAGAAGAAGTAATTTAAAAAAGGGTCAAATACTTTTTCCCTCCATGTGATTTTACAGAGTAACGTATTGCCTTGTTTGTGAAAAACCTACACATAACTCGAAGTTATGGACCAAAGCAAAAAACCATAACTCCATTAACAAAAAGGCAGAGAGATCGGTGAAAGAAAGAAGGAGGGAGGGGGGAGAAGGTCCAGATCACAACTGCCGTGCAAGAACCAGTACCTAAAGGAATGCATCCATCCCAAAATTGTTATGTTTTATTACTGTGCAAAACGAATCTGCCATTGATCATGTTTGTGAAATAGTGTTCCCTATCAGACACACATGGATGTACTAGATTTCCTCCAACTTTCCTACGTATTGTGTGAGTTAGTTTTTCATATTTGTGAAATTGTACGGGTAGAAAACTGACAACCAACTGTCAATGACTAGCTTCTGATATCTTCCATGGCAGAGCCTTGTTCTCTTCTTCCTCCTCCTCCTCTTTCTCCCAATTTCTGAACCAGTGGAACATTGGGATGGACCGAATAGATTTGTTCTTTGATTAAATGCGTATTTCTGATAATTAAATATTTAACTTCGGAAAAAATTTCTTGTCAAGCCAATATCGGATTTTTGGCGTGTGATGCACAATTCTCCATCAACATGGATGGATATACTAACAGTTTCACTTTGGTCCCAAAACCCAAGGGGGTGACTTGTAGGTTATATGGAGGTGATTTGTTATTGGGCCAAATCACAGAGGAAAAAAGTATTTAGACTTTTAAAAAAACCTCAAATGGGGAAAACAAGTTCCTACTTGCATATAGATTAACTTATAAGGCAGGAATCCAAGTGTAGCAAACGTTACTACGTTTAACTCCTCTTTGCTCTCATCCATTCAACAAAATTGTCCAGGATCAAGGGCCAAGCAAGTTCAGGATCATAATTGCTAAAATCCGGGAAGCTTATCTGCATAAAAATTGTCGGTGTCAGAGAACACCTGTAGCTCATTGTTATCAATCACATAAAATCTGGAAAGCGGTTAGAAGTGTAAAATAAGAGGCACGAGATTTCGAACATGGTTAAAAAGTGTGAAAGAAAGTGAAAACAAATTATCAGCATCAAAATGGCAGAAAAATCATGTGCATAAGTTATCGCAGATATATAAAAGATGCCATAGATTCTTTAAAATAACTATACGTTACCTCATTGCAAAACCGATAGAATCCCATCCACTGATCCATGTTTATGACTTTGTAATCAACCTGTGTCTGCAGCAAGAGCACAAACATTTGGACAAGAATTTTTATTATTATAATCTTTTTTTTTTGGGGTGCTTATTGTAATCTTCTATTTGATTATCAGTGTTATTATCTCTTTTTTCTTAAAAATCACATAATATTGCAACTCTGTATGCGGGACCCCACCATCTTTCTACTGTAACGCGTAACAGCTGAGTTTCACAAATATTTTCACTTTGAAAGAAGTAAGATGGCAAGAGTTCAGCGGTACAACAATGGTGAGTGGTGCAATTCTTATGACATTTACACCGTTGTTGGACAATATCATTTCCTCGTGAATACAAGGAAAATGCTGATATATTCACTTGGACAATTGAGTATCAGAACATAAGCAACTGTCTTACATTAGAGCAAGAGAAAACTCTAGCTGCTTACCCTTATGTACTGTACAAATAAGTCAACCTGGGAATGAAATTGGGACCCTAAAACAAGGTCCAGCAACTGGCAGATGCTCTCTATGTCGATGCTCTTCTGCTTCTCCTCTAGAAAAGAAAATACAAATAATAAAAGCTGGATAGCAGCACAAACAGGAATAAATTTGAAATTTGCCAACATTAGACATGAACAAACAAGAAATCGCCAAACCTGTTAGACAATATCGAAAGGCATAGGAATAGAAATCCAGAAAATTTGATGGCCTCCTAACCTTTTGAGAGAAAGAAAAATACAAGAGGGAAAAAAAGGAAAGGGGGAAAATACGATGGCAGAATTAGCACTCCAAAATTATCTTTCCCCCACCACAAAGCATCCAATACACATATCATCAGAACCTATCATGATCCACTGGTTAAAAAAGAGTACCTCCTTCTCAAGCTCTGGAAGTGCCTTCTTTAATTTGATTATTGTATCAGCCCGAAGTGCTTTAAGGCCTCTTCGCCACTCCTCCTATTATACATTATATTGGTGGAGTCATCTAAAGGATGAATGTGTTTAAGAAGTAGAAAACAAAACAAGAAAATAAAAGTACACATAAAAAATGATATGCATTGACCAAGGTCTAGTGTAAAATGAAGTTTCTTAGCAAGTTCATAGATATGTACAACAGCAGGCATGTTGGCCACATATTTCATACACAAGTCCATGCTGTGACATGTTTAGTACTAGGGCCTCCACGATACAAGACAGATGCATTTACAATATGGTTGCAGGAGAAATGTCCATAATAACTGAACGAACAAAAGATGAAGGTTTATCGATCCAAGGATTAATAGAATAAGGGATGCTACAATGTTTGCAAGCTTATAGACCTTACCATTAAGGTTTCGGCTAGTGAATCGGTATAAGTGAAGAATACAAGCTATCATATTTAAGAACATATGAGAAAGTAGCAACAGAGAGAAGTTTTAATTAATAGGATTATTGAAGCCAATATCCATTGTATGGATAAGAATTGGATTACTTACAATGGTAAAGTATCCTTGCTTTTCAGCTTGCATTTTCCTAAAATCCAAGGTCCATCAGTACTGAATTTAAGGCCATAAATCAGAAACTGAAGAAGATGATGACTATAATGCCACTCACCAAGCAAGCATCAGTATTTGTACATTAGTATGATCCACTTCCAAATCTGAACAAAAAGCCTCAATTCCTTCAGGGCTACTCACGAAAATATTGCAACATTAGACAGGTGCAACCAAAAATCAGTAATGTAAAGGGTAAAAAAAACAAAAAAATTAGAGGGGGGTTCAAACTTCTTGTTCTTGAATTGAATGAAAAAAAGAAGAAGAAAATTTTCGTTAACAAATGAAATCGCTGGAAGAGTTTCTGATCTGCAAGTGTACAACCAAATTAAAGAATAATCCAGCCAACAAGATAAGAAAGTATTGTACACAATATAATCACAGAAAACTAAGACGAGAGAAAATAAATATTTGAATGATTGCCACAGCAAATCACAATTTTGTACTGCATATCCAAGGAATTTATATTGAACGTGAAGCAGCACTCTTCAATTCTTAAGAAATGACTTAAAAATTGCAGTTCCAAGGGCTGAACTTGCAGAGGGTGACAATTGAACCCCAGGAAGGTAAAATAAAGATGTCGTGTTATCTACTACAAGTCATAACAAATAAAGACACAACTATATCTGCTCTGCAACTTCGCATGGCTTTCCATAAATCAATAACATATGCAAGGAGATTTTCAATATCAGACCCTTGTTTAGAGATTATTTCACTTAAACTTCTAAGGGAAACTCAAAGGAACATTTGATTCCCTTTGAAAGGGTTAGCCTCTATCCACACACTCCACATGGGATCCCCAGCTCCAAATTACGACAGAACAACATATGTTCCATAGTTGAGTTCATCAACGGTCAAACATTGTCTTCCTCGCGTTCATCCTGGATTCTCTTTCTCAATCAAAAGGTCTATCAATTGATTCCTATTCATTCGGTCAAAGTCTCCACGATCTTTTCATGCCCCTGTACTATGAGGTGCACCATGTTGATAGGAAACGACAAAGACCTTCTTGTACACGTTCTCGAGGGCAGCATTCATGGCTACTTTCTCCCGAGGGCATGGTAGGCTTTGTTCTTGGTGTTGTTTAATAGATGTCGAATGATGCTCTTTATCCTCCCAAACACCATAAAACGAGAAAGCCCATGCCTCACTTGAATATATTCCAATTAAACCAATTCACATGTCAACCTAAAAATTTAATGCACTCAGGGGGTTCACCCTTAACAACAACCCCACATATACATGACCACAAAACATAAAGCAATATAATGTAGCTATGATGCATCCGAATTTGGAACAAACTAACAGAATTTCAAACAGAATAAAATGCAGATGCCATTGCCATAAATGGGATCACAAAACTATATGGAGAATACTTACTCAATCATACCAAACGAATTATTCACGTACGAATAAAATAGTTGATCAATTCGTTCCAACTCTTTGCTTGCAGCTTTACCTGTAGCTGAAGCAAATATATTTATATTAACAGTGAGGAAACATGGTGAGAATTCAACCGCAGCTTATACAACATATAAAGAGGTAATGGTTGCAAATGCAAAATGAATCACGCACATGACATTAAGCCTTAGAAAAAATTAAAATGTAGATATCAAATACTCAAGTAATATATGTAATTCATAAGAATATGAATATGGCATGATTCATAAGAATAATCTTAAAAAATATAAAAACTTAACATGATTCCCAAGATGGAAGATGGCCTAAGCAAGACGAAACTTCCTTTTAGATACATATAATTCATGCATATCTTTTTTGAAGTAACAGTTTCTGCCTGTAGTTTTCCTAACTCAAAATTTCCAAAACCACAAGACACCAAAGCAGACAAGCAACAAAGGTAACAACAACGGAATAATTTTCCAATGCATCTGCATTTGTTGGGCCTTTCCTCAATTGTGAGGCAATTGAAGAATTGTAGAGACGACGTAAGAGAGAGAAGTAATCTGATGAAAAACGTCTCGAGCAAACGAAGCTTCGTTCATCACTTGGAAGCTTTGTAGATGCAAATTTTAGAGAGAGAAATGGGAGGCCTTTGTCCCTTTGGGATGGAGGTCTGGACAAACAATTCGAGACACACCCAGATGCATGTGCATGGGAATGTGGTGCTTCACAGTCTAATATCCAGGTTGGTAAAGTAGTGACAGAGAGTGCGAGTTATGGAGGTAGATGGTTGGTTTGTTTAAGGAGCGTGCGATGGGATGAATGAATGATCTTTCACATTTAAAGAAAAGGAGCAAGTGATGGGAATATAATTTCCATCACAAATCTCTCATGCACAAAACTTCTTCCCTGCTAACTCTCTTCCACTATTCGAAGGTTTCATTATACTAGAACTTGTGGCACCCACATATTGCAATATACTATGTAAATTATATAGTATGGATGGCTTTCTTCCTATTAGTTTTATTATTAGATGTGAAGAGGAAAAGGAAGTATAATTATTAGAGTAGTGGGCTGAAAGAAAGGAGATATATAACTAATTGTGTCTAGATTAGACTTTTTATTTATGACCAAAGTCCAGAGAATTCATATGAGATAAACATGGCAGATCAACACATCAATCAATCCCAGAATTATTTGAAGATAGGAAAGCGCCAGTTATACGGAAAACATGATTCTTCGGCAAATATATAATTTAGACGAGCTTCTTGGGATGGTAGGTCTAGGAGTTTTGTAATTAAAACTGGTGCTGCAACAAACTAGTCAGATCATGATGACACGCTGATTACTGTCCAATTCCCTTCATTGGTGTAAACCTCCTTTACTTCAGTAAAAGGTGTACTTATACACACATCACATATATATAGCTGTTTCGCACTATCTCCAGGCCACTTTGGAGACCAAATAAAATCACAAACTAAACGGTCCCCACACAAAACTAATTCCAAAAAAAATCAAACTTCTAAATTAAACAAAATCAAGTAACTTCAACAACATGGATCAGTACTTACATACATAAGTGAATTACTGATTAGCTGTTTCGCTCAATCTTCAGGCCACTTTGGAACCATATAAAATCACAAACCAACTGAATTTCGTATACACACTCAACAATAATTCCCAAAAAAAAAAAAAAAGACTTTTAAATTAAGCCAAATCAAGTACGTTCAAAACATGGATCAGTACATGACAAAAAAGATCACTCATCGCCATAAAATAACTGAATTTCGTATTATTTTCAGCCAAATCAAATCCAAACACAGCTGATGATATAATCGATATTACCTGAGCGAAATAGATCCACCGCCGATGAATTGTTGGACGACGCTGAATTAGTGGAGCCTTTCCTGGATGAGGTGCGAGGCATCTTGGAATAGTTCCTGAGAAATTGAAGTCCTAGAGAGAGAGAGATTTAGCAGAAGAACAAAAAGAGCATGGAGAGAACGAAGCTTCCGTACGTCGCGCGAAAGTTTTTATTGGAAGCTCAGAGGCTTGTTGGGGTATGTGCGTACTCCGCACCCCTACCTCCAGATGGTGGCGTACGGTAGGAGTGCATGTTCACTTTGATTTAAGTATGATTTTATTTTATTTTATTTTTTTTATAGGAAACAAAAATTAGGCATCTTTAGACCATTTTTAAAACCAAAAAAAATAAATTAATTCGTGTAAATCATAAAAACAATGAAACATCAAGGTTAATTTATCTCTTAACAAACAATATATTAATTTAATTTTATTAAAATTACAAAATACGATATTGATGTAGTTTTCTTTTTCAGAGTATCTTTTATACAACTTAAAATATATAAAACTCAAACGTATATTGTGGCAAAATAATATGATTTTGAAAGTTTGAGGCCATATAGGGAATTGAGAAAACTTATAACACAAACAAAAAATAAAAGAAAAGTATTTTGTAAGTTGATGTGGGAATTTGCTTGTTCAAAAGAACAAAAATTGTTTGATTAAAAATAATCATTTGAAATATTAAAGCTTGGGAATACTCTTTCAATTGCATACAGTAATTATTAATGATTCAATTTTCGAATTCAATTGAGAATCAGTTGAGAAATTATCTTAATCGAAATATTTAACAGTAATAATATTGAAAACATAAAAGGTATAATTGAAGAATTATCTAAATAAATATATAAATTTATTTGTAGATCACAATCATTTATCGTGTCAAGAATCTGCGACAAATCAAACTNTTATAGGAAACAAAAATTAGGCATCTTTAGACCATTTTTAAAACCAAAAAAAATAAATTAATTCGTGTAAATCATCTTAATCGAAATATTTAACGGTAATAATATTAAAAACATAAAAGGTATAATTGAAGAATTATCTAAATAAATATATGAATTTATTTGTAGATCACAATCATTTATCGTGTCAAGAATCTGCGACAAATCAAACTTTTCAACATGTAAACTCTAATTTTATTACAAATAAAAAGTCAACTATTTTATAAAAATTTTAATTAATTAATTGAAACATAGAAAACCAATTGTTTAACTCGTTATACGTGGCATGACGAATTAATAAATTATATAAAATAAAAACTATATTAAAAGATAATAATTAAATTAACTTAATAAATTATACATTAAAAGAACATTAGATACAAAATAAAATATCGTGCTTTATTGAAAGTATTTCCCTTATCTTTAATGGGAGAATTAACAATCCATGGATATAAAAAATAAAAAATAAAGAAATATGTAGAAGATAGGATCTAAAATTATCCCATCTTAAATATTTATATTAGGGGGGATAAGGTTGCCCTTGAAATAAATCATTGCAAAAAAAAAAAGGAGAGTAAATTTAGGTCAAAACTTGTGCAAAAAATCTTGTGGGCCCGCATCTATACAAAATTCAAGCTCAATTTTTGGCATAGTTAGAGATTGATTCATAAATTTTTCATGAAATACATTTTTTTGGCTTTTGAAATTTTATTTTCAACCCCGTAAAAATTAGGTCAATAGGATATCAAAGTAACAAGTTATGACTAAAATGATGAAGACATGTCAAACCTTTACCTTTTAAAATACTTTCTTAATCCAAATCTAAATAAGTTTTATATTAACTTGTACTCTCATAACGATTAAATTGATATTTTATCTTCAACCATTCAAGTTTTATCAAATTGATCATNCACCTTTATCTGTTAAAATACTTTCTTAATCCAAATCTGAATAGGTTTTATACTAACTTGTACTCTTATAACGATTAAATTGATATTTTATCTTCAACCATTCAAGTTTTATCAAATTGATCATTATTCTAGAGTTTGTTTTATTTGTCTTACCTATTATTATTTTAAATTAAGTAGATTACCTATAAAAATAAATTAAATAACTATAAAATAGAGTCTAACACATTTGATGGATAATCAATCTCCAAATTTGACTTAATTATTTACTTAAATTTGAGTCAATATTTGATGGTGAAATTTAATTTGGTAACTCCATGTGTATAATAATTTAACATATATAAGATTTTACTTTTTCATATGAATCCAAAAAATTGTCTGTAAGTGTACTACTAATAAATGAGTTTAAAATAATTTAGAAGTTCTTACAAAATAGTCCAAGATAAATTGAAAGTCAAATAGAAATAAAAAATAAAAATTAGATGAAAAATATATAGATGGGTATAATTAAATTTATTATAATAATTAGGGATAAAATAGAAAATCAAAATTTTTTCGCAAATATTGACATTTATAAGTAGTATAAATATAAATATAAATATAGATATAGATATAGATATATAGAGATATAGATAGATAATAATTTAATATATATAAGATTTTACTTTTTCATATAAATCCAAAAAATTGTATATAACCATACTACTAACAAATCTATACTACTAATAAAAGTACCTTAGATGAAAAACTTTTGATTACCATTTTTACCCTTAAACAATCTTAAAAAGTCATCTTTGCTATCCTCATCCTTCATGCTATAATGGAACTAGCAATTAGAAAGACAATAAATAATAAATTGTTAGACCTTAGAAATTCTAACAATAAATATTAATTTACAGTAGTCTACTATTGGAAGTGGAATCATTTCCTATATCTGTACTATTAATACTTGTGTTTATATTTTTTTACCATTCAAGAATTCAACAAAAATAAGTTTTTTTAGCTACAATAAATTCGCTTTATTTCGTGCAAATATTGACTGAAGTTTTTCATTGAGGGCACTAAAAGGGCACATAATTTTTCTCTCATATAGTGTCGTTTTCTTCATCAGTTTTCCAGCCATGGAAACCTTGATCAATCTTTTGACCAAACCATTAAAAGACCTATCATCAAGAAGTCTGCTCTGCAATAATTGCTACTAAAAGCTTAAATGAAGTGTGGGTATATCAGCTGGAGATGTTCCACCTGGAGATATACTTTTTGGTTAAAATCATATATCGATAAATAAATTTTTGATACCATATCTTTTTTTTTTATAAAATCATGTTGGAAGTTATGTTATTTTATTATATTATTTTAGTGATTAATAGTTANTTGGTTAGAATCATATATCGATAAATAAATTTTTGATACCATATCTTTTTTTTATATAAAATCATGTTGGAAGTTATGTTATTTTATTATATTATTTTAGTGATTAATAGTTACAAATAACTCCAAATGTACAACCTAAAGATAACATAGTGTTGTCTTAGACTTTTTAAGTGCCAAACACTAACACCTGGATATTCTAAGCAATCATGCAAAGCTAATCGGAAAAATTATCACTATTTAGTTTTATAGATTTTGGGGTGGATTTTCTTTTCTTTGTTTGATTCTTTATTTTTGAGTAACAAATTATGAATGAATCCTTCACATAATAGGTTTTCCTATCTCCCTTAATGAGATATGTTCTTTAACTTTTATTTTAATTAGAGTTGGAATATATGGGCTTGAATGAATCTTGTGTTTGTTGCTTATAAGTTTTTTTTTCCATTTTTTTATGCAGTTGAAATTAGACCATGAAAGAAAAGTTTTAGAAACATCTAACAATAACTTAAAATCCTTATATTGGTTATTCTTTATTTGGACACTTCGTGACAATCTCTAGATAATGGAGGATTCACTATGTCATGGGAAATTTGATGTATGATTTGTAAATTTTGATAAACTAGGTGAATTGATGAGAAAATTATTCGAAGATCGAGACTATCTTTAATTATACATATTCGTAGCTGTAGCTATTCTCCCCGAAGGATTAATCACCTATCCCTTCATGCCACCGTGACAACCAAGGTTTTGTGCCTAAAACTTGTAAGTCATCTCCATAAGAGAGGCATCTCCCTACACACCCTCGACAAAGCTATCTCTCTCATAACTGTCCAACCTCTCTTAGCGTTTACCACTGTTCTCTCTCTCATCTTACTTTATTAATAAAAGTCTCCGACTACCGTTGTCGTCTTCAGAAATAGAGTAGATTATTTTGATCGAACCACTACACTTATATGTGTTGACCTAATCTTTACCTTTCTATTGTTAATTGCTTTATTGATTACTTCATTAATTACTTAGAATTGTACACTCGACTGTTGATTGTGCATCATCAATAGGTAATTAAAAGGTGGGGTGGGAATTAAGGAGAAGACAATTTTCTTGGATGGAAAATGCAGAGAAATTGGTTTAAACTATGTTTGGTAGACTTATTAGTCGTATGGACTTTTGGAACTCAAATGTCCATTCTCCAACCAAAGATTCAAGGAGAACTAAACTTTGGAAAGTTCATTATAAGGAAGCTAGGTGGGAGGATAGCTTTTCAAAAAAAGGAAAATACTACATAAATTTAAAAATTAAACTTGATAATCACAATTGTTAAATAGGTAGTAGGTCTCAATAAATACTATGACTCATAGTGAAATCAATGGTTGCAATTATCAAATCTACTTTTTAAGTCCATGTAATATTGTTCTTACAAAAATGACTTTTCGTGGGATTTCTAAGAATTTTCTTTCTCCTTAATTTTTTTTTTTTTGGTAAAATACATTTTTACTCTTCAAACTATATACTTTGCGTTTGTTTAATCTTCAATCTTTTAATTGCATCCATTTGGTCTATCAACTTCTCAATTGTGTCACTTTGGTCTAATCAACAATAATCAATTGAATTGACTAACAGAGATGTTCAACAGTTCAAGTACCACACTTGTTGGGTGACTTTGGCTCCTTAAATTTATAACTTGTATCATTTTGGTCCTTTAAATTTAAAGTTTGTCTCACTCTAGTTCCTAAAGTTTTCAAAGAATGCACGTCAAGTGTGATCACGTAAGATGCACGTGACGATCTCCATTAGTAATTCCAACTGTCGTTTTTTATTAGACTAAAGTGACATAAATTGAGAAGTTGAAAGATCAAATTGACACAATTAAAAGAGTTGGGGCCTAACTAACACAAAATGCATAATTTGGGACCAAAAATCTATTTTACTCTTTTTGTTTTTGCAATTACTTTTTGTGGGTATTCTATACATATAACTCTTAAACTATGACATTTTTGTTAATT